TTGTCAGTCGATGTAGCAGCACTCCGTTGCGAGTCAGGCTATTTGTCAGTCGATGTAGCAGCACTCCGTTGTGAGTCAGGCTATTTGTCAGTCGATGTAGCAGCACTCCGTTGCGAGTCAGGCTATAAGATAGTCGATGTAGCAACATTTACGCATGTTTAAAAAATGTTTTTTATTAAATCAATAACAAAAACACCACTAATTAAAAAAAACTTTCTAGTCGTTATAATTGCGGTTTTTTAAAAATTTTTTAAAAAACAATTAAATTTAATGTACTTCCGCATAAATTAATTGCTTTGACATTTCGATGACAATCAAAAACAGCTTAAGAGACGAGGTAATTAAAATTGTAGTCGTAAGAGACTTTTTTTACATTAAAATGCTCTTAAAGCGACACTATATGAGTATATATATATATATATATATATATATATATATATATGTATATATATATATATATATATATATATATATATATATATATATATATATAATATATATATATATACATACATACATATATACATACATATATATATATATATATATATATATATATATATATATATATATATATATATATATATATATATATATATATATATATATGTATATATTTTTGTTGATTATTTAGTATTAAAAATACTAAACTCTTGATTGTTGTAGAGTGCTCAATATATAAGAAATATATATTTTTTCAAATGAAAGCTAGAAAGTAAAACCGAAAGAAAAATCTGCTAAAGCAATGTTTATCACAGACATAACATAAAAACATAAATCTACACTTTAAATAATTACAGATAAACAAGAACAAAATAAGTTTTATATCCTAATTAAGATAAAAAATAAATATAGACTCCAACTTTTTGGCTTTTACAAAAATTCAAACTATCATTAAAGAGTATTAAAGAGCAAGATAAAAAATAACTTATTTGTTTTTATAACATATTTTTATCACATATTTCTGGCATAAATAAACATTTTTATTAATTTTTTTCTACATTATACAGCTAATTTTGACATTAACTTATAATGTAAAAATAAAGTAATAAAAATAAAAACTAGCATTAAATTTTTTATTTCAAATGAAAACAGCTATTTAGACTGAACTTTCAATACTACTTCATAAGTTCGGTCACTATATATCACAATAATGCATCACAAACTTAACGTTGCAAATAATGAAAACTAATTTTTAAATGCTGTTTTATTGTAAAATGATGATATAGTATCATGTATTACCAATAACCAAGGAGGGCGTCGCCCTGGGCTCACAAAAAAAGTCTTTTGGGGTGCCAAAGAAAACAACAAGACCTTTTTAAGTATAAATAGTTTAAAGCAATGTTTTGCTCTAAATAAGCTTTGTGTGTTTATTGGCAATTCTTGCACATACAGTCAACCAAAGTAAAACTGCGAGTGATCCACACAACCAACAGTCACAGGATTTGCACCACATCCATAATTGTTGTTGAGCTGTAATTTTATCTCCAAAAAAAATGTCACAAGCTTGAAATTTTTTTGAATTCAATGAACCATCAGATTGACAATCTTGATATATGGAAGTCATTTTGGATTCTGATATAGTCAGAGTTTTGATTACCTCCACTAGTTGTCATTTCTGTTATTTAATAGTAAGTTTGTTAAACAAATCAGCTTCCTTTGCTAAACGTTTTTTTATCTTAATTAAATTAGTCTCCTGTTTTGTTTTTTCATGCAATACCTTTCTAGCTTGTATTTTGTTCTTTTTATTTTATGCTATTATTTACTTGTTTGTAAATTCTATCAAAGTTATTTTAGAATTCATAATCTAACTTTTCATGAGACGCATGTTATTATTAGGAACATTTAACTTTTTATTGCTTTATATTTATTACAATTTTAAATGCTTTACATGCTTTGCGCATGCCAGCATGTAAAGCATTTAAAATTGATGTCTTTAAATCATCTGCACAAGCAGACGTGCAGAATGTTAAAGAAGGTCTTTGTTTTAATGAGCTCAAAGAAGTTTTTTACTTGAAATTCTATGCTTTTGTATACTTAAAGGATTTTCTGGAATTGCAGTGACTGGTATAAGCAATGTTGGTAAGGCTTGAGTACTTTGCGCAAAAATCGATCCAATAGCTAATTTTCCATTAAATATATATTTTCTAGACACAACAGAAAAATATCTGTTGCTTTGAAGCCGGAATGCACATTATCGCTGAAGAAGCTTAGGTCAATAAGCTGTTTGAGCAAGCCAGGATAGCTAAGTTTGTTCAGGATGCCATATTCTTTTCCCTATCCTGAATACGCCTACATCAAGTGACTGTAGCACATGAGATGTATGAGCCGGTAGCTTAAAAATAATAATACTCTCCTCTTTTGCTAAGTGAATTAGTTCCATCATTACATGTTAGGCATGGCTGTCTAGAAAAAGGACATTGGAACCTTCAAGTTTGCGGCGATGTGGAACAAATATTTTTTTTATCCATCCAACAAAAACAGGTCCTTTCATCCAGGCAGATTGTATGACACAATAGGTAGCACCGTTTGGCCTGTCCTAGGTTAGAAGCCATTTGGACATCAATCTAAAAATTCAAATAATTAAATTACTATTTTGTATAATGTGGAGTTTTCCGGATTCTTTGCACATTTGTTTTAAATGCTTTTTAAAACAAATACCTAAATTCATCATAAATATTACCTTTGGTCTTGTAATAAAACTTGAACAGGCAAGAATGTCCCAAAAGAATCACAGCAAACAAGTATTGTGATTGAAGCTTTTTCATTACTACTACAAAGTTTCTTAGGCCATTTTGAACCTTTTCGACACACTATCTAAAATTTGCATTGATCACATTGAAGGTCAAATTCATTGCAATTAAAAACGTGGAATGACTTAGTTGCGAATCCATGTATATTGTACATATCAGAAACTAGTGCAAAACTTGATTAAATAATTTAAAAGAATTAAAAATTTGAAAAGATTGAAAACAAATTGAGTTTTACCTTATAAAAATTGCGCCTTTTTTATTAAAAACAATCTAATATAAAATATATGTATATATAAACATATAATTTTAACAAATACCATCGATCAATAGTGTCTGGCTGAGTTAACATTTCATAATTTGCCATATTATTTAAAGTTCTGAGCGATAGCTTATCACAATGACGTCTAATAAATGAGTAATACCAGGCAAATGTAACTTCACCACCATCAAAACACATTTGGTTTGAATTAACCAAGTAGTTATAAACAACAAACAGTATTTCAAGTCTAGTCAAACTAAAACCAATAATACTCATAAATATAAATTTTAACTAAAATATCCTCGATGTTGTCCCTCAATTTAGTTGGTTTGCCATTTTATTAGTATGCTTCCAGTTACTTCTGTCAATGAAAGTTGATCTTTTGAAGCCATATGTTATAGCTGCTTTCCTTATACTCATACTTTGGCCCACAGCTTTCAAACCACAAGCCATCCGTGCTTTCTCATGTAAGTCCATAGATGACACAGATATATTAACTTGCATAAGAACTATTTTAGTGCATTGCAATATATATTATTGTTTTGTAATTAGTTCATATCAGTGATGTAAACTTACCTGAAAACTGACCGGTAAATTTTTTTTAAAACAGGTTAGTTTTAAAATTATAAATAAATTCTTTCTTCAAATAAAATACCAGAGTGAGTATCTATTACAAAAATGTCAAAATTTACTGGTAAACAGGAAAGTTACTTGTAAATTTTACATTTACAACACTATACTTATATTTACAAATTCACATTTTTCAAATATCAATATTTCACAGCATTCCTGGTATTTGTCTTCTTCGTTGTTAATTCATGAATGACCGAAGTTAGAGTATTTCGAAATTTTACTAATTTTCAAAAAAAAGTACGTAATATTTAAAAATTAATAATTTTTTTTTGTAAATATAATTAATTTGGTGATGCTTAATAATACTAATATAAAGTTTACTCATTTATTTTAATACTTTGCTTATTTTAGATTTTAATAGTATCTTTTTTTGAATTGTTGTTTTACTAGAGAATTATTTCAGTAGGTTGCAAATAAACATTATTTTTTTATAGATTCATATTTATGAAGTAATAACAAATATTATTTGAGAAAAAAATGTTTGGAAAACTTGAGTTTTGCATGCTTTTTTTATATTTTTCCTTAAATGACCAAAAAGTTACATGGCGATCGAACTTAGAAGATTTTAAGGAATATATATTTTTTATTTAGATGAATAAAAATAACTGATTAGCGGCCAATTAATAATCAAATAATCAACTTAAATATAAATAATCAATTTAATTAGTTATTTTCATTCATCTAAATAATATACATATATATATATATATATATATATATATATATATATATATATATATATATATATATATATATATATACACTTACTGAAGCGTGTTTTGATAAGCATTTGCTCACTTTTTCTGCTTACCTTGAGCCGTACCGTTTTGTTTGAAAAAGAAGAAAAAAAAACGAAGAATGATGAATAAAATGATTGCTGCCCCGTCTTAAACCCTCAGCCGATGTAGCAGTACTTCACTGCGAGTCAAGCTATTTGTCAGTCGATGTATGTACTGAAGCCCCCAGCAGCAGGTTTTTTCAGTATGACGTCAGATTGCTTACCTTAGTACGCAATACTATTTGTATATATATATATATATATATATATATATATATATATATATATATATATATTCCTATACTTTACGGCTAAGAAAGCATGTTTGTGGTAAAAAATGGCTCTTTGCATGTTTGTGGTTTTAAAGCTGACAAAATTAAGATTAGATTATGTCAAAACACATTAATTTAATTGCAGGAAGTAATTAAACCACAAAACCACGAATTAAAAGACTATATATATATATATATATATATATATATATATATATATATATATATATATATATATATATATATATATTGACACATTTCATAATAATACACACGCTTAGCAATAAAAATCAAAAATAACTTGCCATAATCTGGTACCATCATTGACATAGGTCTGAACAACGCCTTTAAATTATCTGGAAGTTCAGTTCTACCAGCATAACCAGGATTCATTGTAATAAATGCTGCACAAGTAGGTACAAGTTTTATTTCTCTGCCTTCAAACATGAAAAGATTTTGCTGAAAAAAAATTTTTTTCAAATGTTTACTTTTCTAAAAATTGTTTTTTTTAAACTAAAATTAACATTTTTATTTTACTTAAAGATATAAATAATAAGAATAAGATTAGTACAAATCAATAGTATAAGATAGTGGTAAAAGGTATACTTTTATGGCATTGAGGTAGAGCGATTGGTTTGAGCTAGAGAGAAATGGATTTCAAACCCTCCACATCCCTTGAGGTAAAATCTTTAACTAAATTTTCCATGTTCAAAACTCCAAAAACTCTAAAACAAGACCTTGTTTGTCAAGGTTCTTGTTTTGGAGTTTTTGGAGTTTTGAAGATTGAGAGAGAGGTATAAAAACAGTTAGATAGTAAAAATAGAAAGTAGTCTCCTTTCCTTTGTAACCTCCTAGAGCCTTAATGAAATGAATATACAAAGAAAATATAATAAAACTAAATAAATTATCTGAATACTACTAGTTTAATATTTTAGCAAAACTCTTACTTTAGCTAATTTTGCATTCCTTATGGTTAGGAGTTGTTGTGCTATAACAGAAAGCACTTCAATATCTATTCTATTAAACTCATCAAAGCAGGACCATGCTCCTGAAGTAGCAAGTCCAGAGAAGAACTTCCCCATCATTTTATAATCAAGACCTTCCGAACAGTTAAATACAACGCATTGCTTGGCTAGTGCTTTTGCTAAGTCTTTAGTTGTTTCTGTCTTTCCAGTCCCTGCAGGACCAGCAGGAGCACCACCAAGATCTAACTGCAATGCACCCATAAGACAAAGATAACAACGGTCCTAATAATAAGTTAATAATTTTTAATAAGTAAATATTTAGATAAATATTTGTTCAGAACATAAATAAAAATTAGTTTAATTTTAAAATTACAATAATCAAGATAAAAAAAAATTATATATAAGTAAAAGTAGTATATCAGCACTTACTGTTAAAGGTGTAATTACCAAACGTGGAGATGCCCCTAAATACTCATAACCATAAACATACATTGAGTTAGACATACGAACAATACAATTATCAATGTCACTGTCCCAATAATAACGAAGCTGTTTTATCCACTCAAAACTAGCTTCATTGTCCACCTAAAATAAATTTTTTATTAAATTTTTGTCCACCTAAATCATTTTTTTATAAAAACAACTAAAATTAGGATTAAAACTATCAAACAACACGTTTCATATAATATTGATAGAAAAAGTAAATGATTATAGAAATGTGGTGTTATTCATGACATAAAAATAAATTTTTCCAGTAAAAAAGAAGAGTGTTCTTTCCTTTTTTAAACAAATTCATTCCCAACTAGGCTACTAGCAGTTGCTAATTAGTTTAGTAATTTTTGCTACATAAATCAAAAACTGTTTTAATCAAACAAAAAAAGCCTGTTCACACAGCATTGTGAATAAAAAAATATCCACCTCTTTTTCTATTAAGCCACTAATGATATCTCTTGCGTGTACATCTATTGTAATCAAAGCACAAAGTGTACTTCTGATTAGTTTTGAAAGCTGACCACGGACTAAAGCAGCAAGTTTATTCAAGTTGCTGAAAGATTTTCTTTCAAACTGCTGCATTGCTTCTATTGTGTTTTCTTTGAACAAACTAGATACTTCTGTGCACCACATAATTTGAGAAACAGTCAAAACAACCTATTAAAACAAAACCTGCATTAACTTCAAATAATATGAAAAACAGGCAAAAAAAACCTGTTAAAATAAAACTTACATTAACTTTATATATAGATAAACTTTTATTGTTATGCAAAGATAAAAAATATTACTTAAATCTCAATAAAGCATACCTGACTGCAATAATTATAGATCCATTTTTCCCTTGGCTTAGTTTCATAGTCTAATATAGATGATTTTGTTAATTTTCTAAGTGAATTAACCATGGCTTCTTCTACCTTGCCAAGCCAATCTTCTACATTTCCACGAGCTTTTAAACCCTGAATAAAATTTATTTTAAATATGTTGCAAAAAAAATTAAAAAAAAAAAAAAACAGCACACTAGGACTGCTAGTTCAAACATGTTTAAGTTCGAAAGTTCAAACTTTCCACCAAAATTTCAGCATTCAGATTCAAACTTATTTTTCCTAAAAGTTCAAACCTTGAAAGTATTTTTACAACAATGTATTATCTTTTTGTTCTATTTGTGTTTTGTTTGGCTGGAAACTCAAAGCATTTAGATATCATGTCAATTGCCATTTATGGAAGCATTATTGTTTTTTTTTTGTTGAAACATATATAAAAGTGCCAGCAAAAATATTAAAATTAAAACAACATTGATTCAAAATTAAAAATGGCTACTTATAAAGACGTTAGCGCATATAAAAGATCTGAGTTTTGGAATTATTTTGAATTTTCTCAAGAGTTGCAACAATCAAAGAGTAAAAATTTCAAAGTTGTATTAATCCAGGCTCAACTATGTGCACCATAACCAGGCATATGAAAACAAAACATAGAAATGACTTTATAAAATGCAATGTCTAAGCCTCTGAGGCTGTTAAAAGTAATCCTATTCATAAAATACCAAGAACTGAAAACTCTTTTAGTTCTGGGCTTAAAACTTTACCTGATATTTTAAGCAGATTGACTGCACTGGATGGATTAAATTTTACAACAATTGATAATAGTCAAGTTTTACAATAAGTGTTTTGTCCTCAAGGGTATAACATCCCAATAAATCATCAAACTGTTCATGATTTAATTATAAAATATTTTTACTCAGTCAAGAAACAAGTAATTGATTAATTGAAACAAATCATTGTAAATAATGGCAAATTTAGCTTTACATTTGACAAATCATTTAAAAACAAAAACCTGAACTTGAATATTCTTTACAAGGGAAAATATCAATCTCTTGGAATGTTTAGGGTGCATGGCACAATCTCTTGGAATGTTTAGGGTGCATGGCACAATCTCTTGGAATGTTTAGGGGGCATGGCACAATCTCTTGGAATGTTTAGGGTGCATGGCACAATGCCAGCAGTTAAAGCCATCAAACTTATTACTAAAAAACATGATTTATTTTGTTTAGAATTAAACAAATATATTTTTGCTTCTGTTACTGGTGGAGCCAATCTGATGAAAAAATTTGGCTATGACATTAAACCTGAATCATCATCAAATGTATTACAATCATGCAATTCATCTATGCATAAATGATGTGCTTTCCAAAAAAAACCATGCTACATTACCACACAACAACGCTGTCAACTTGTTGATACTGATGAAACTGTTATTCATGATGATGATGATGATGATGATGATGATGATGATGATGATGATGATGATGATGATGATGATGATGATGATGATGATGATGATGATGAGGTGATGATGATGATGATGATGATGATGACGATGATGATGATGATGATGATGATGATGATGATGATGATGATGATGATGATAAGATGATGATGATGATGATGATGATGTGATGATGCAATTCATCTATGCATAAATGATGTGCTTTCCAAAAAAAACCATGTTACATTACCACACAACAATAATGTCAACTTGTTGATACCGATGAAACTGTTATTCATGATGATGATGATGATGATGATGATGATGATGATGATGATGATGATGATGATAAGATGATGATGATGATAAGATGGTGATGATGATGATGATGATGATAAGATGATAATGATGATGATGATGATAAGATGATGATGATGATGATGATGATGATGATAAGATGATGATGATGATAAGATGATGATGATGATGATGATGATGATGATGATGATGATGATGATGATGATGATGATAAGATGATGATGATGATGATAAGATGATGATGATGGTGATGATGATGATGATGATGATGATGATGATGATGATGATGATGATGATGATGATGATGATGATGATAAGATGATGATGATGATAAGATGATGATGATGATGAGATAACTTTCATGTCAGAACGTCTTTTGCAAGTTCAAAATGAAATAAAAATAGCTTTGATAGGTAAAAACATTGACTTTTACCTTTCCAAAGATCCAATGGAAAAACATTAATTTAAAATAAATAGACTAACAATTTTTTAATAAAACACCTAATAAAATATTTGTTTAACCCAAATATTTTAAACCAAGATGACAGTTTGGGAATAAAATAAGAAGAAACAATATAGCAAATTTTGCCACCAATCTTATTCAAAGATTATTTCGGCCTAGTGAAGAAAAGTCTAATGTTAATAAAGAATTTGTTAGTTGTGATGTCTGATGAAATCAAAAATAAAAGTAATGAATTGACTTTAGCTCAAGAACTGAAATGTTTTATTGAAAAATTTGATTTGGAAATTGGATCGTGAAATTATTAAAGGCATAACCATAAAATCGTGAAAGTGAAATTGGATCGAACTTAATTCAAAAGTAAATGGCTCTTTATGAAGCCAGCAAAGACACAAAATAAAGACAAAAATTTGGATATGCTTTTCAATGCTCTTAAAACTATTCTTCCAACATCTGTTTGCGAACTGTGATAATTTTTAAATAAAAATACTGTGATAATGTATATTATTTTTTTCAAATAAAAATACCTATATAAAACCCTTTCATATATTGCATTTTTTATTAAAAAAAAAAATGATAAAAAAAGTTTGAAAAATTTTTTTCCAAAATAGTTCAACATTGTTCAGGTTCGAACTTTACAAAAAAAATTCATATTGGCAGCCCTATATCGCACACACTAAATATTTTTTTGTTTGTGTGTCCTGTAGAGCTGCACAAATTAAGTCAGTGATTAGGGTCGTCTGAAAAACTCACAAAGTAAGCTATCGCAACAAAGGGCTTCTTATGCAGCCTCAGCAAAAGCACTAACGGAGACACCAACCATGTGCAAATTGGCAATGTTAATACTCTGATATTTCACAGCTGTTGATGGAAGCAGACTCTCTAAGAGTTTAGTAAACCTTACTACCAGATTGCCTCGGAACCGTTAAACTAAGTTTTAGAGCTGTACCTTCATTAGGAAATAAAGGAAGAGTTGCATAACCAATATTATGAAGGCACAAGAAAAATCTTATGAATAGAGTCAAATTCTACAAGGCAGCAGTACATGGAGCAGGTTTTACATGTTACCAGTACATGTTTTGTGTTACTAGTATCAGGATGATCATGATAATCCTGAACCTGACCTGATCTGAAGTAGTTGAAAGAAGTTCCCTCTTTGAGTAGTATTCTAATATTTTGCTCAAGAGATGTTGAATATACATAGGAAAAATATTTTTGTAGAAGGATACTGGAAATCAACAATTCATTATATGGTTTAGTCACAAGTTTAATCACTGAGCAAACACCACACCAGTGGCTCAAATACTTTTTTTTATTATAATTTAAAAATATATAAACATTTTTATATATTTAAAATATATAAACATTTTAAAATTAGTTATAGTAAAAAACAGTCCATAATAATAATAGTTTTTTTTTATCTCTAAATTTTATATATCAAGATAACTTTTTTAACAGCCCAACAAAAAAATAGTTCAAAATATTTAAAGAACCATGTACCCTATAAAATATTTATGTGTATTCAATCATAAAAAGCATTTGGTGCAAATATGGAAAAAAAGTCAAATTTTTTAAAATGGAAACATTTTTCTAACAAAAAAAAAATACATTTTGTTTTCAGTTCAAAAAAAAAATTTGTACTTTTCTTAAAACTTATTCAACCTGCTTAAAACTTAACTAACATAATGCCATTAATAAACCCCCTTAAAACTTAACTAACATAATGCCATTAATAAACCCCCCAAAAAATCTGATAAAAATCTTTTTCAATACAACATTATTTTTAGACTTTTATTTCCTTGAAAAGAAGAGATGTTCACCCTTTGCTATTTCATTTATAATATTTAAAAGTTTTTTAAAACAATTAGTAAAAAATAGTTAAGTAAAATAAACAAAGTAGAAAACAGATTACCTTTGTAAGAGAAACTGTCTCTCCTTCAGGAGAAATCATTGCAAGTATATCATTACTCTTGGTATTACTACTACCAGAAGATGGTCTCTCAGGTGTACCAGAGGACTGCTGAACAGATGTTCCAAATTCAAGCTTAGATATTGCGTCGAAGCATTTTTGTAAATGGGGTTGTACCGCATGTGGGTTTCTTGTTTGTGAAAGTATTTCCAAAAGTTCATCATTTGACAAGAAAAAAAATCTAAATCCAAACTTATTATCAACAACATGCATATATTATTAAAATAATACGCATGTATTATCAACAACATGCATATATTAACAACAACACGCATATATTAACAAAATAGTTTGCATATATTATCAACAATAAAATGACTTACCTTGGAAAAACCATACATTTTGATTCTAAATATGCCTCTAAACACTTCTGAATCTGATCAAGCAGACTGTTGTTTTGCTGAAATACTTTCAACAAGCCAGGTTGTGTAGCAGCTCTGAGAGCATTTGGTAAGCGATTTACTTTTCTCATAATTTCTTTCCAAGATTTATCAACTTGCATAAACATTTTAGCTTCAGTTGGTAACTGCCGTTGAATATCTGGTGCACTAAATATTGATTCCAGATAAAGCCAGTTTTGCTGGCAAGTCATCCACTCATCCTTGGAAGCAAAAAAAAATTATAAAGTTATTTAAATAGTAATAACAAAAACAAATTCATGAAAAAATGTACATTTATTTTTTATAAGCTAAAACTCATTCTTATGAATTTTTTTTTATAAGCATATGACACGATAACAGAAGTTAAAAAAAAATTCACAAGGTATAAGAGAATTGGAACTTGTAAATGACCAGTCTATGAAAGTGCGGAAATGAATGATAAAAGTGAAATGAATGAAAAAAGTCTATAGATGTTAAAAAGATAATGACAAAAAATAAAATATATATACCACATGCAAAAAATGCTAGCTATAAAGGAGCAAACATTTCAGGTTTAAACAAACTTAGTAAAACATTGGCATCCTGATTGCCAACACACAAATAAAAAACAAACATATAAAACATTATTTCCAAACTACTACTTTTGTGCAATAAACTGTTTAAACTTTATTTAAAAAAGAACATTTATAACATACAAGTGTTTGACTGAATAGATTTAGCTGTTTTGCCCATTCATCAACTTTTCCTTTAATGGGAGCTACATAACGAGAGCTTGCAATAGTTGCAATGTTTACTTGACTATCATCAAGTGTTGCTTGTATTTCATCAATCCCACCAAGAATAAAGACGTCTTTTGAATCTCGGTGTAGTAGTACAGTAAACTCAGTTGATTTCCATGAGTCTTCAACCTAAAATTTTAACTTTTATATAAAAAAAAATAATAATCAAAAGAAAAAAAAAAAACTACGACAAAAAACAAAAACACATTCATGAAATAACAATATGCAATATCTAAACCTTTTTGAGAATCATTTCAAGTGATGCTTCACTTGATGCTTGTGAAGCTACTTCTTTTATTTCTTCAATTTTTTTAAATGCATCAATTTCTTCAAGGAGTTTTAAATCAAAAACTGAATCAGGTGCAAACTTGTGTCCAAGAATTGTTTCTATAACTTCCCAATGTCTAGCTTTCAATGCAGGATTGCGCAGATCCGTAATCATTGGGAGCTAAAAAAAATTTTATTTAGCAATTATTTCAAAAAACTTTAAATTTAAAAGGAAATTTTTTTTTTAATGTTAATTTAAATACCTTAGCTCTCATCCCTTCAACTTTTTCTTTTAAAATAGGAACAATTGCATTAGAGGGCAAACCTTTTTCAAGTTGCAACACTGCTTTTGCATATTTTATAACACTTGTACTTAAATCTTCTGGGTTTAAGTCTGTAAAGGAGGTCTATGTAAAAAGTAAAAAATATGAATTAAATACAAATATCAATAACACAAGCAGCTTAACAACAAACATAAAAAGCAAATAAATATTTTATTCTTTTAATAACACCTACTCCCATCCACTTAGTAAATAAAGCATCCCAGTCTTGTGAACAACTCCAAAGTAACTGCTTCAACTTAATGTCAGAATATACTTCATCAAGTTCTTCAAATCTTGTTACTTCTACTTTAAAATTTTTTTGATAACCTTTGTATTTCATTGCTAACTGTTGAATGTTCTCCATTTTGGCAGCTAAGCTTGATATAATTTCATTCACATTTGAAGCAGTTGAGTTTGGATCCAAAATTTGTGGGTTCTAAAAAATAAAGAAAATACACTTCCAAATTGTAACTAAAACTAAAGACAACTAGCTACATTTGGTAAATAATTAAATGACAATTCTATCAGCATGCATATTTTTTCAAATATAAATTATTCTATATATATATATATATATATATATATATATATATATATATATATATATATATATATATATATATATATATATATATATATATATATATATATATATATATATATATATATATATATATATATATATATATATATGTATATATATATATATGTATATATATATATATATATATATATACATATATATATATATATATATATATATATATATATATATATATATATATATATATATATATATATATATATATATATATATACATATATATACATATATACATATATACATATATATATATATATATATATATATATATATATATATATATATATATATACATATATACATATATACATATATACATATATACATATATATATATACATATCTACATACCTGAGCTTCTTGTTTAACCTGTCGGACCTCTTTTGTTAATTGAAGTATATCTTTGTTTAGACAAGCACAGAATTTATTTATATTTGCATCCCTTTCAGCCAATGACTTGTCAATAGTATTTCGAACAACCACCATACTAGGTTTCAATGTCTAAATAAAAATATTTTAATTTAAGATTATTTTTTTGTATATCAATTTAAAAACAAAAACTGTTTGATTAATAACTACACAGGTCCAGAATCATAAAACTTTTTAAATAATTTAACCAAACTCCTGTGTTGCTGCGTGAGCTGATTTTATGAAAACAGTAATAAATTGATTAAATATTAAATTGGTAATAATTTAGTGAAAAAATTTAGTGCCTTAAATTCAAACTTTTTCAGAAGCATTTTGAATTTTTTCCTAAATACTTGGGTAATTAAGTGAAAAGCAGATCTAATGATTTCATCAGGACTTACAAGAGATTCAGAGGTGATACTAGGATCAACATGATGAGAAGTGATAATCAACATGATGAGAGGTAATGATCAACAGGATGAGCGGTGATACTAGGATCAACATGATGAGAGGTGATACTAAGAACAATATGATGAGAAATGATACTAGGAACAACATGATGAAGAGATTGATGCTAGGATCAGCATGATGAGTTGTTACTGTTGGTTAATTCATAAAAAATAAAAAAAAAGCATCCAATGGAGGAAAACAATTTATAAGAATTTTTTTAAGAAAAAGAGATAAAAAAGATGAAAAAGAAAAAAAAACCTAAAATATTCATGTAGTAATTTAAACTCATTGCAAGTAAAAATGGTAACTTAATAAACAAACTATGATTTTATAATTTTTTATATTTTGGTTTTAAAATTGATACCATTTTTTTTTTTTTTTAGCTGTGTTAAATTTGTAGTTAATTTTATTTTTACAAAGATAAATCACAAAATTTAATGCTAACACAATAAATTCAAATCCACATTAAAAGACTGTCATATGATTTGCATTATCAATAAAATTTTGCAAAAAACTTTTTCAATAGAGAAAAAAAGAAAAGTTACAACAAAAAAGACCAAGTATACAAAAAAAAAACTTCTTAACACATAAAGTTTTATTTGAACATATGGCTGTAATAATATTCACACTAAAGTTCTAAATAAAAGTGCTTTAAGTTTTAGATTACAAATATTCTTCAATGTCTTTTAACTAAAATTTATATTATTAATTTTTTTTTTTTTACTTTTGTTAATGAAACAGGTAATTCACTATGTGGAAAGCAACTCACTAGAAAACGATTAACTCTAAAGCTATATATATATATATATATATATATATATATATATATATATATATATATATATATATATATATATATATATATATATATATATATATATATATATATATATATATATATATATATATATACATATATATATATATATATATATATATATATATATATATATATATATATATATATATATATATATATATATATATATATATATATATATATATATATATATATATATACATATATACACAGAAATAGAGAGAGAGAGAGAGAGAGAGAGAGAATTAATAATTTAGCCAATTAATGCAGCCTCAACTATTTTAGTCACCAGTGATGTTTTATACAGACTTAAGTTTGCAGCATAAAATATTTTAATGTTTTATCTTTTGTTGAAAAATTAAATTTTGAACTCAAAAACCTAAAACTATACATAAATGTGAACCTAAATCTGCAATACTAAATATAAATAAACATACATATGTAACCTCCAATCCCTTCCCTCCCCCCCCCTCAACTTTTAAATAAAAAAATTAAATAAAAAGAAACAAACATCAAAAAACAATCAATTTAAAAATAAACCTGATAAACAGCTAAATTTTCTGGAGGTATAGGTATAGAGTATTTTTCAATTAAATCATATAACTGTTTGACAGTATCTGAATCTTTTTCTTTCTCATCAATAATGTTCTGTATATCATCAAGAAAATTCAAACTATCAACAAACTCAAGAGTGCTACTTGGTTTAAATTCCAAATTATATAAAGACTTTTGACAAAACTGTATAAGATCATCTACTCTTTTTTTTGAAATACTGGGTAAGAGATCATACAACACCTGCATATAAAAAAATTTGAAATTTTTAATTAGCCTATTTTAATTTTAAATTAATTTAAAAAAAAGTACTTGCCAGTAAACACATTGTAGGTGTTGAATTAAAAAAAAATACTTACCTGTAAACACATTGTAGGTGATGGAATAAGAATCTCCTTTAGCTTCTTTGTATCAACCAGCAACATTCCAATATTAATTGTCTCTCTAATAAGTTTACATAAGTTAAACTGCTCTGTGTACTTTAAAAGAGCGGAGGAAAAGTAAGCCACATCTGTTTCACACACAAAAAATCAGATTAATACCAACTTTTTAAATATAACAATCATAAAATTATTCTTCAAAAAAAGTTTACCAAGTTCTTTTTCATAAAGCAATTTTAAATTAGTAGCTTCATTTTCAGAGTAGAACTCAAGATAATTCTTAAACTTGGATGCATAGTTTTTTGCTGCAACAAAACTTTTATTGAGTGCTTCCATAATCTTTTTCAAAGTATCCTTTAGATATACATCATCTTCGAATATATGAAGAAGACTAGGACCTTGCCAACTTGTTTTCTCTTCTATTTTGCCATTTATTACTGGTCTAATATCCAAAAAAAAAAAAAAAAAAAAGATTTTGCAAAACTTTCAACTTCATAAATTATATGATAAAAAAAAAGTCAAGAAGATAGGGAAGCATTGATTATGACATTCAATGTATAATCTATTAGCTTTTACTCAATAATTTTTGTCTTATCATAAGTGATTATTAATCATTAACCAAAGAGTCTGATCTCATTGGTCCAAAGTCAAAAGTCCCATTTAAAACTTAAAAAAAAAATGTTTGTTTTTAAGTTATATAGTTAAACAAATAGTATATACTTACAACAAATAAAAATTTATATATAAACAAAAAAAAAAGTATCAACATTACATTTTTTAAATGAACTTACGTAACTAACTAATATTATGCACAACAATCTTCAAGAACAATTGTTTTTAGTTCAGATCTTGATATCATTAAGTGAAAGAATAAAAAAGATAGACTATACCAAGAATAGAATAAAAAAGACAAACTATACTAAGAATAGAATAAAAAAGACAGACTATACCAAGAATAGAATAAAAAAGAGTATACTAAGAACAGAAAAAAAAAAGACTATGCCAAGTGAAAAAATAACAACAGCTGTAAACAAACTTTTAAAGATAAGACCATTGAATAATAACAAGCAAGTTTAATATAGATCAGATAACTATATTAAAATATATTTAAAAATTTTGTCATAATCAAACGATCAATCCAGATAAATCTAAAAAGTACTTTCATTAAACATGAACTTTCAATTAAGCCAACACATTTATAATAAATAATAAGATCTGTCCATTATCATAGATCAAAAATAAAACTGTAGGGATTGATAAGTTGCAAGGTTTTATGAAAAGACAACAAATGTTGTCAAAAATCTGAAGTAACTTGCTTCACTCAATCAACTGCCTTGCAACACACTGAAAGAAACTTTTTTCAAAACAGTAAAAAAACAATATAAATTTGGTTTTTACTGGATTCTGTATGGTTTAAAAACCATACATAACCCAGTCAAGGTTTTAACAGGTAGAGGTAGTAAACAAGTTGGTAGAATCAAATCTGCAAAATGAGAAACATCGATAAAGGCATGTTGCACTTCAAATACAATAAAAAACTCTATTGCTCCACTATTTTTTTTACTAGACTAAAAGTTTAAAACTATATGACTATGGAACTGTATCCCTTGGATTTCCAAAACTATCTGGTTAAATAAATTTAGACATTTTTATAATATAGATAAAATTTTGAAATATTCAAACTATACTCATGAATCTCCTATTTTGTTAATGAACAGCCATGAAAGTCATACTTCTATTGAAAATCACAATGAAAGTCATACTTCCATTGAAGATCACAATGAAAGTCATACTTCCATTTGAGATCACAATGAAAGTTACATTTCTATTGGAGATTACAATGAAAGTCATATTTCTATTGAAGATACAATGTTATTTTTCTACACCATAGCAGACATAAATTGCACCATTGAACAAAACTGTTTTTGGACAATTGGAAACATTTTACAATGCTGCGTCTAAAAATTACATGGTTACAAACCTAAGACCTATGAATATATAAAATATTGTTTCATTAGTTTCAGAACCATATATAAATGCTTTCTCAACATCAAATATACAGACAGGATTTTTGGTTGCTGGCATTAAACCATTTAACCTAGAAATTTTTAAACAAGAGCTGTTTCACAACTTGGCATTGACAAACAATAATAATATAAAAGAAACTTTATTTCTGCATAAAATTTTTAGTCTTCTAAACTTTATAATAATCATAAAAATCATGTACATCTTTTTAAATCTTAAAATTTTAAACATCTTCTAATCGCTATAAATTTTTCTTACAAAGCTTTGTACATATGTAAAGCTAGTAGTATATAGCTGTCACACTTGCAAACATTTAATTTTTTCTTCTAATTAAAATTTATACCAGTCTATTAGATTTTATTGCTGTATTATTAAATACTTTTACTTTTTTTTAAATGTATCATTAAGAATAAACACTTAAGTTACGTTATATACAGCATTTAAATATAGCAGTATTAAACATGTAAGTAACTCACATAAGATCAAAGCCCTCCTTCCCTCTCCCCCCCCCCCACCCCCTTTAAAAAAAAACTGTTGTAAAGTTAAAATAGTTATAATTTAAAATATCATGTGTTTATCAAATGTTTTTAGTTAAAATACTTATAAGCCAATTTTTCTACTTTTTTAAAAAATAAGTTTTTATCTAATCAGGTTGTTTGCAACTTTTTAAAAATAAGAAATTAAGGTTTATATAACACTGTTTGCAACTTAAATAAACACTGCTACAGTAAACAAAATCTTGAAAAAAACTATACCTTGTAAATGCATCAAAAAATGAATCTGGAAGTAGATTTTTTACACTCAATGCGGTATCTTTAAAAGAGTCAGTAATCTGCATAATCTGTAATGAAAAATCTTCAGCACTGGGATTGAAGAAAAGTGATTCAGTATTAATTAACAACTCAATCTTGAAATGTGGATGAAGATTAGCTTCTTCCTATAATGAGAAAAACAACTTATAAACAGTAAAAATATAAAACTTCAAATAATACAAAATATACTTCAAAAGTTGATATGGATTATAAAGATTGTTTGTCGCAAAAAATTTTACCCAAAATTCTTATAGATTTAACAAATAATCTTATTTTTTTCGCTACTTAATCTTTCGTTTCAAACGACCAGTTATTTAGAAAATTAAAGTTTTGCCAACCGTTTATTTTTATATAATTTTGTGAAAAGACTAAACAATTTGTTATTTTTATTTATAAAAAAGTATGAAAAAGCAGCATCTAAAAGACTAAGGTAATAGTTTTTACTAGCGTTATATTTATTATAAATTAGTATTCTGGACCCATAAAAAATACGGGTCTTGGTAAGATTATTCTACACTGACTATTTCTATACTTATACCTTACTTCAATACTTTGTAGAAAAACTATAAATATTGTCTACCATTTAAAGTTATGAATAAAAAAATAATTTATAACATAACTTTAAAAAATTTTAAATGCTTTGGTAATCGTAGCGCAAACTGCTATTTAGTTGTAGAAAATAAAAATCTGGCAAATCTTTGTTTTGAATTAACAATAAGTTTATAACTTCTTCTTATAAGTTCTTCTTATAAGTTTATAACTTCTTCTTAAAAGTTTATAACAATAGTTTATAACTTCTTATAGTAAAGATGTAGCTTATATAAAAAAATGGGTACAGACTTTTTTTCTTTATTTCGTTTCTATTAAGTTTTTATTAAATTTTTTCGAGACCATCTGCAGCTTATTAGGAACCTCGCCCCTTTATCTATTTTTGAAGAAAATAAAAGTTTAAATCTTAAATCTTTTTTCTTATTTAAAAAAAAGTTTTCTCTTTAATGTGCGTTGAAAGCATAGACTTAACTAAATACCTAAGCACATTAATAACTTTAGTATCTCTGTGGTGACATAGGTACAAAAAATTTCTACCTCTGTTTTGATGTTTATTGTAATTTTAAGCTTTTTAAAAACTCTCTCCCTTCTGTTTGTTATGGTATATTATATTTTTATCAACCCTCGGAATTAAGAAAAATGAGGTCAGCAATAACTTGCCGATCTTAATCTTTTTGAGGTCAGCATCAGGTTAGCAAAAATTATTTGATACAAAGGTCTAACCATAAAACATAGAAACGAGGTCGTCAATTTTTTGCCGACCTCAATCACTTTCAGGTTGGCAGTTAGGTCGGCATTGCCGAATGCCGACCCTAATTCCGAGGGTTGATCTTTATATATCAACAATAGAACTTTAAAAATGTATAAATTTGTATTTTAAAAAATTGGAAAAAATTGGAAAAAATTAATATGCAAGTAACAGGATTTGAACCTTCATGTTGTACTTTGGAAGCGCAGCAACCTAACCATTTTGGCTACTAAGGCACACTAAACCGGCAATTTTCAACATTATTTAAAAAACAAAAGACAGAAACTTTATAAATCAGCAAATAAATGTTTTAAATCAAAATTTATTTTGCTGCAATCCAATTTTTAAACAAAATTAAAACTTTATAAAAGTAAACATACCTATTAAACTATAAAAATGTTTTAATTTTTATTTTAAAAAATCAAAAAAAAACAACAACGTGGAAGCGCAAGGATTTGAACTACAGCATTTTACTTCAGAGCCCTGCCACCTGACCATTTCAGTCACTAAGGCATGTTGCTTGATAAAATTTTAAAATTATTTAATAAACAAAAGACTTTATAAAACAGCAAATAAATGCTATAAATCAAAATTAAGGAAATGTTGCCGCATTTCAATTTTAAAGTAAAAAAATTAAGTTAGTAACAAACGTGGTAAAAATATATATTGGAAAAGTTCATCAACCACTGCAAAAAGAAATCATTTTAACCTATTTCGTGGTATTGTTTTTAATCAAAATGCAACAACAAGTGATGAAAGAAATACTTGTGTCAAAAAAAAGAAGTAAAAAGTTGAGACAGACGCAAAAAAACATACTAAGCTGTGTTAAGATTAAAACATTCTACAAAAACTAGAACTGAAACTTATGAAACTAGAACTAGAAAAAATACTTTAAATCTCAATGAATAAAGTAAATGTTGAAAAAGTTTTGCATTGTGTTAACAAAATATTAACTGATTTAAATAAGGACATGCTTTCTTCATATTGATGACATATTGATGCTTTCCAACCTATTAAATTGTTTAAAGCCTTTGGAAATAGTGGATTTACTTTATAACAGCTGAAGATGTGCATAAGTTCATGTTTGATAAGCTGGAGGATATGAAATCTAATTTAAGCAAACAAAAACTTCAAATACTCATCAAGAAATTTTGTTGTTAACTTGGCTTCTGAAGAATTAAACATAAATTTATGAAGCTTAACTGAAGAATCAGATATTGTGGAATTAAATTAACTCATTCTAATGCACTTCTGACAATCAAACCAAAATCAACATGTCCAGAACATATGTTTTCTGTCGCTGGATCAATTAAGAAAAAAAAAGTTTGAATTTTAACACATTTAATTCAATACTTTTCCTTTAATTTGACTTTTTAAATATATATCAAACAACTATTTTAAAATAAAGTAAATAACTCTTTACTTAATAAGCTATTTATTTTGTTTACTTTAACCTACAATAACTTATTGCTGCTTTTAAAACATTTTACATTAAAGTCCTAATAAAGTATAATTTGTAAAATTTTTTAGTATACTTCTTTATTTTTACATTGAATATATTTGAATAACAGAATGTATCATAATTTCACACTATTCAAATATCTAGTAATAGAAAAAAATTGAGTATTTGGATGCTTTGCAAAAGAATGAATATTTTGCAGAAGAATATTTTAAGTTAAACAGCTTTTTACTCTACACTAAATGATAATAAAGAAACTAATTTTAGACTTTAACTTTAAAACTCCAAACTATACAGAAATTTTTCTCTTCCAAATACCAAGCTAAAAAACGACCTAAACATCAATAAAAATATATAAAGTAATTCTATAACTAAAAATCATACTTTTTTTTTGCTCCCTAAAAGCAAAAAAAAAATTAATAAAGTACTACAAATCTAATTTCTATTTAAAGATGTTACCTTCAAAACTGAAAAGTTGAGAACTTTAATTCTTTGAAATAACAGTTATACCT